AAAGAATTTAGCCATGAAAGAGAAGAGATGTGTAGGATGACAACTAGCAGGGATGGGCAGCCAGCTCAGGGTTTTTTAAGGATAAGCAAAAATAGGTACGTTTGTATGCATCAGGGAAGCAGCCTATTGGCGATGGCAGGGATAATGGAAGGGGCAGTCATTGGATGGTATTGAATCACTTATGCATGAAGAAGGGTTTAGCTTGGCTTCCTTTTCATGTGAAACCCAGGTAAAGGGGGAGATAGTGGTGGAAGGGATCTGAATAATATGTGAAGAGAAGAAAGACAAAAGAGGGAGCTCTTGGTGAATGGTCTCAATTTTTTTTAGTGAAATTTGAGCGTAACTTCTCAGTTGAGAAGGTTGGAGGAAGGGCAGCCATAGGAGGTTTGAAGAAGTGTTGAAAAGGCTTGGAAAAGCCACTTATGATGAGTGGGATAGAGAATTGATTAGGGAAATGTAACTAATTTACAGTGGGCCCAGTCAGCATGCTTTCTTGATTTCCCTCAGTTTCATTCAACAGCATAAGAACAGGAGAAAAAGCAGAGGAGAGTGGCAGTAAACCTAGAGTGGGGTTTTGCAAGGCATCATTAGTGACAGGATGAGGGGTTAAGTGACTCTAAAGTAGAGAACAGTGTGGAATTGTATTGGTTTATCAAGAAGTCCAGACAGGGAAGAACGCAGAGTGCAGCCAGTGCTGGGTTGATGGCCTGGGAAAGAATTGAGAGGTGGAGGGATGAGAAGTCATAGTGAGGACATAGAACGGGGTTAGAGGTCATAAGGCACAGGGAAAGATGTAATAATAGAAGATGAAGGAACTTCAGAATTCACAGACAAAAAAGTGGAATTGTCGTCAGTGATAGCCAAGGTGAATCTGAGGTAAAGGAGAGAGTGGTGGAAGGAGTGTGAATGGTGTGTGATGAGGTCATGGGGAATAAGTAGACTAAGGAACTGGGAAGTTGGGGTGCTCGAGGGAGTATATAAGTCCAAGGCCCCCAATATGAGGTCAGGAGTTGGGCAGGAGAGAACAATGAAGAGCCAGGCGTTGAACTCACTGAGGAGCAAAAGAGAGTGTCCAGGGGGCTGGTAGACAACGGCTACCAGAATCTCAATAGGATGGTAAATATAGATTGAATGAACTTCAAAGACAAAGAGAAGAGATTAGTGAACAATAGTTGTAGAGTCTGGAAGTAGCAATGGAGAGCGATACTCCCCTACCACAACTACTTGGAGGTGATATTAGAAAAAGTACAACCATCACTGGATATGGTGGCCAAGAATGCCATGTCATCATGTCATCATAAGGGAGCCAGATCTCTATGAATGCCAGAAGATGGTAAGAGTGGGAAAGTAAAAGGTTTAAGATAAAAGCAAGTTTCTTAAGTAAGGCTGGAGTAAGTATTCTAGCAAGCAAAGTAGAAGAGGTGGGTAGATCTGGAGAAGGACAATGGAGGTGGTCCAGACAAGAGTACGAGAACAGGCAGTAGAGAGAGTGGATTGGGGTTTGTATAATGACAACCAGGAGGTTCAGCATCATGAGAATGGGAAGAGCATGGTATGGTCAGAGCATGCTAACCACTGAAGATGAGTTCAGGCAAATCATAACTGAAGAGAAGTATATTGAAGGAAGACAGTGATCAGATGAGGGCCCTCCCCGGATGTCCGACCTTGCAGCAGGTGGTGATGTCAAGTCCTATGAGGTCCAGAAAGCCCACCTCACACCATGCAGGAGTAGTATTTCCAGAGGAATTTGGACAGGAGGCAGGAGCTGGCAAGTTGAAGGGGATCTGCTCTGGAAATGGCCAGTAGAACACTTCAGAAGGACCTGAGATGAAGATAGAAGCCTGAGGCCTGAAACCAGGCCTAAAACAGGATACCTTGGCAAGACCCAGATCTAATAGGCCAGAGAAAGGAAGGCTGGATTAGGGTTGATGCAAAATCAGAGGCCACAGGCGGTCTGGGGCTGGATCATAGCAAAGTAGTACTCCCTATGAAGTCCTAGAGGCAAAAATAGGTAGGCCTGGGCTGAGAATGACTTTGACAGAAGCTATTATTATTAGAGGAGGGGAGAGTAAGACAAAATCTTTTACAGTAATTAGGAGGAAAAAAAATCTGTTGTACTTTTGACAAACAAGTTTATAAGGCTACAAGAAGCATTGCTTGAAATGATATTCAAAACTCAGATCATTCAACAGTTAACATAAGATGTCCTTAGATATTGCAGGAAAGTGATATTCAGCAAGGAGAACACCCCTAAGTTGATTCCTCTGAGTAAAGCTTCTCCCCCTCTGAGTTGCCCAAGGTGGTCTGCCAGCCAAGCATCAGAGAAAGCCTGGAGCTCCTCCTGGGATTTTGTACTCAGGCAACCAAAGTTCCGTAAACCACTTGAGCCTTTAAGTTCCCTGAGCCAAGTCTCCAGGATGGTTTCAATGCTTTTAAGACAAACTAATCTAGTTTGCATGGGGGTTAGGCGGGGGTTAGGGTATTGCTCCTACCACACCTACCTTTACAACCTTATTAAACATTATTTTTCTTCCCACACACTGTTGTTCATCCAAACAAGCCTTCTTATGGTTACTCACACCCAACATTCCATTTCTCTTCCCAGTCTTTGCCCAGGCAATTGGACCTCCTTTTCCCTGAATACCCTTCTACCCTCTGCCTCTTAGAATCTTGTTTCCTTTAAAACTCAGCTCTGTCAACATGTTTTATGCAGTCTTTCCTGATTTCCCCCTGCTGTTAGTGATTCCCTGATTTACCTTGTAGCTGTCTTGTATACACACATACACACATAGTTCAGAGATACTTATTTGCTTCCAGACTACCTCAATAAAAGAATATTGCAATAGTGAATTTTTTGGTTTCCCAGTGAACACTAAAGTTATGTTTACACTATACTGTAGTCTACTAAGTGTGCAATAGTATTATGACTAAAACTAGTGCATACTTTAATTACAAAATACTTTATTTCATAGTCTTTCTTAACATGACTATTATGAGCCACATTGTAAGACGACTAATATTGACAAACTTAACCCTTCTCAGCAATACAAGGATCTAAGACATCTCCAGAGGCCTCGGGATGGAAAATGCTATCCACATCCAAAGAAAGAACTATGGAAGTTGAATTGCTATCATTTTTTTCTTCTCTTCTGTTGAGTTTTGTTTCCTCTTTCTGATGATTCCTCCTATTGGTTTTAATTTTTACTTACAACTTCACTAATGTGAAAATATGTTTAATAGGAATGTAAATGTATAGCCTATATCAGATTGTGCCCCGTCTTGTGGAGGGTGGTAGGAAGGGGGAGAAAAATTTTAAACTCAAAAGTATATGGAAATGATTGTTGATAAAGCAAAATAAATTAATAAAATTTTTTTTAAAATTTAAAAAACCATGAATATTATGGAAGTGTTGTATAACCTATATTGAATTGCTTACCTTCTCAATGAGGGTAGTGGGGAAGGAGGAAGGGAGAGCATTTGGAACGTTTAAAAACTAACATTGGGGCAGCTAGGTGGCTCAGTGAATACAGCTCTGGCCTTGGAGTCAGGAGGACCTGAGTTCAAATCTAGCTTCAGACACTTAACACTTACTAGCTGTGTGACCCTGGGCAAGTCACTCAACCCCGATTGCCTCACACTTCCCCCCACAAAAAAAAAACCTGAATATTAAAAATGGTTTTTTCACATGTAACTGGGGACAAATAAAAACATCAAATTAAAAACTGTAAAATACTTTATTTCTAAAAAATGCAAAAGTATATTAAAAATTTAAATAAAATAAAAATTAAAAAATGCTAACCATCATATCATCTGAGTTGCAGAGAGTGGTGGTAATCTTTTCTGATGGTGGAAGATCTTGTCTCCCTGTTGATGGCTGCTGACTGATTGGGGTGTTGGTTGCTGAAGGTTGGGGTGACTATAGTAATTTCTTAAAATAAGGCAATTACATTCCCTGCATCTACTGATTCTTCCTTTCACAAAAGATTTCTCTGTAGAATGTAATGCTGATTGATAGCATTTTACCCACATCTTTCAAAATTGGAATCAATCCTCTCAAACCCTGAAGCTGCTTTACCAACTAAGTTTATGGAATATTTTTCAATATTTATGTGTCTTAGAGAACAGTGAAGCCAAGGAGAGCTAGACAGATGGAGAACAAGCCAGTAGGTGGAACAGTCAGAATACACATTTATAGATTAAGGTCCTGTTTTATACAGGCGCTGTTCTCAAAGCCCAAAACCAATTACAATTACAACATCAAGATCACAGAACACTTTAAGAGATACAATGGTAATGAAAAAGTTTGACATATTGCGAGAATCATCAAAATGTGACACAGAGACACAATGTGAGTACATTCTGTTGGAAAAATGGCTCTGATAGACTTGTGCAAGGCAGGCTTGCTGCAAACCTTGAACTTGTAAAAAACCAACAAACCACAATATCTGCCGCGATAAAGCGAAACTCAATAAAATGAAGTCTGCCTGTACTGGTTTTATGTATACGTTGTTTCCCCTAGTTTTTTCCCATCCCCTTGAAGTCAAGGATTGCTTGGTTTTTGTCTTTGTATTATACCCGGTGTCTAGCACTTTACCAGGCACATTGTACATGCGTAATAAATACTAGTCTAAGGGTTGATATCTGGTACACTGAAGGAAATATAATCCTTGGAAAGAAACCTTCTTCCTCTAGTCTACAAAAACTTAAAGTTCCTACATGAATTGAAGTGAAATAAGCAGAACCAGGAAACAATACACCCGGTGGCTAGAACAATGAAAAGTCCAACAAAATAATCAAAATGAATCCTGGGAAATTATAACCAAACTTGGACCCAAAGAAGAAGTAGGAGAAGACATAACCGCTCTTCCCAAACCCTAGCTCTGCTTCTTTGCAGGGGGGGCGGGGGACTATGGTTGTGAAAGATCGTACATCAGATTTTTTTTTCTATATGTTGATTAATTTTACTTAACTTTTTTCTCTCTTTTCTTCTTTGTTATAAGGAAAATATAGATGATGTAAAAACAAGAAACAAGAACAAAAATTAAAACGAACTTGAAAACCCCATAAAGCAAACGAATTACAGCCCCTCCGCGTGCCTTGATGAAACCTGGATGTCCACTGCATCTCGTCCCGTCTCGTCCCATCCCCTTTAAAATCCAGAGACTACATTTCCCAGAGGCCCCAGCGCCCAAGGCGAAGGCGGCACCTCCCAGGCGCCCCCTCGCGGACAACGTCTTCGGAGGGATCTGGTCGGTTCCCGGCGGCCCTCGCGAGTGGTTCCGGTCTCGCTGAGTGCAGGAGATGGCGGGGGCTAGCTCCGCCGCAGTGTCGGGGGCCGGTACGCCGGTGGCCGGGCCCTCAGGCCGGGACCTGTTCGCCGAAGGGCTGCTGGAGTTCCTGCGGCCCGCCGTGCAGCAGCTCGACTCTCACGTGCACGCGGTTCGGTGCGAGCGGGGCGGGGTTTGGCTTCTCCGCGGGCGTGGGAAGGGGGCGGGTCTGTCGGACCGGCTGAAGCAGGGCGCTGGACCCCGGGGGCGGGAGGTGGGGAGCCGAGGGCTGAAGGACTTGGGCCTCGGGACCTCGGGGGCAGGGGCGCGGAGGGCTGGAGGCGGAGCAGGGGCGAGACCGCCTGCCAGTACCGATCAGCCTCGGTCTGCCCAGACCAGGCCCTGAGGCTTTGGGCAAGCCGAGGGAGACTGACCGGGGCCGGGCCTTGTGTCCCTTCGCAGGGAGAGCCAGGTGGAGCTGCGGGAACAGATTGACAATTTGGCCACAGGTGAGTGAGCGGACGCCTCCGGGTCTCGGTAGGCCACGTACCCCTCCTTTTTTCCAGTCTCCCTTATTTGGGTGCATAACCCCGTTCTAGGGCCTGGATTTTCTGTGCCCCCTCTCCCGGCTCTCAAGACAGTGACTGCTCCTTGACACATGCCCCAGTTAGAACCTGTTCTGGTGGTTGCCCCCGTGTGAACATCCCCACTTCCATTGGGGCTCTTACGGGCAGCGCCCCTTTCCCCGTTTGCCCCAGAACTCTGCAGAATCAATGAAGACCAGAAGGTGGCTTTGGACCTGGATCCCTACGTGAAGAAGCTCCTCAATGCCAGGAGACGGGTCGTCTTGGTTAATAACATTCTACAGAATGCTCAGGTAGGGAAATCTCAGGACACCCACTCGAAGGTTTTCCCTTATGATTTTGCAACATCCTGGGGTATCTGTCACCTCCGGCAAGTGTATATAAGAGGCAGGCAGTTGCTTAAACTATTAAAATATGCATAAAAGCAGTTAAGATTTTAAAAGGTGGAAAAATAACCCTCTTCATGTTACAGATGAGGAAACTGGGTGCCTTCTTAGGATTCAGACCAAGATCTACTGACTCCAGAGACGACTTGAATTAAGATTTTTTGGTTCAAACCTGTTAATTCATCAGTGTAGAAAACTCAATAGTATGGAAAAAATTCCTTCAAAAATATAAATTGGCACTTCATTTGTACCTTATAATCTGAGAGTTACCTGGGGATACCGAGTTATCTGTGGACATACAGCTAACATGTGACATAGGAACTGAACCTAGGTCTTTCTAACAGCAAGGTCAGCCCTCTACTCACAAAATTATTGCTATTTTACGGGTTTAGGGATCAGAAATTAAAACATGGGTTATCTCCAAAAAGTTTGGAAGTTATTGTTCCCAGTGCCAAACTTAGCTTGACCTTGTGAACAATGAGGTGATACAAAGAGCTTTTAAGGAGAAGGCTTAAACTCCTAGGTCATTCTTATCCTGCTACCTGAACTCAACTTTTTTCCTTCTTTCAGGAACGGTTAAGACGGTTGAACCACAGTGTTGCCAAGGAGACAGTTCGACGTCGAGCCATGCTAGAGTCAGGGGGCTACCCTTCTGGTTCCCCAAGCAAATAATGCTTCTCAGAAGAACCATGAGGCCTGCTCTCTAATTGCCCTGCTTCAACTTTAGACTTCAACTGTGACTCTAGAAGATACTGAATCTGTACTGACCCAGAAGGAAAAGGAGTATTTAAATAGCTGCTGTCATTTGTGTTCTGAGCACTCGGAGCTTGATTAACCCATTTAGGTTGGGTCACCAGAAGTAGCCCCTTGCCTAGATTCAGGTTGAAAAGTTCCATAAGAATCAGTTCGTAAGTATTGTTTTTAAAGAGCTGTTTATAAAGGGGAAAGCTGCAGACTCCAGATCCACCCAGCACCCTGAATCTGGGTGGCATTGTTCCTACTAGGTGCTAAGTTGCTCATCCCTGGACAGCTTCCCTCATAATGACTTGTACTTTTTCCTATGCTTGCACTGAGGATTTGAGGGGAAAGGATCTTGGTGAGGAGGCCTTGCCCATCCACCCTTCGTTGATTGCACTAGCTTTTAGCTGCCACAGCAGCATTTCTATTAACTGTACAATTCAATAAATATCAGAGTATTAATGCTATAATCCTGTATTAGGTTTACTCCAGGATGATAAGTAGATGGGGACTAGATTCTCAAGCTTTTAAAAATAAGAATTTTCTGTGCCTCTCCTTCTGGAGTCAGTCAGATTTCCAGTCATGACTGCTGCACTTGCCTGGAAGGGGAGATGGAGCTGAAGAGGGGAGTGTTATAATGGATTAGAATCTTTTCTTTCCCCAAGCTATAATTTGGCAAGAAGCCTGTAAAGCAAACATCAAAACTAAGCAAAGAGAAAAGTTCCAATATTGTTAGCTGCAGGAAGGAAAAGAAAAGAAACCTTAGAAGGAAACACTTTTAATAGTTTCTAAATAAAAAACAAAAACAATTTTCAGACACTAACAGTTCACAATAATTTCAACAACAACAAAAAAATTCTGGAAGGTTTTGGTCTTAGTAGGGTTTCCAGAGTTGGTTGTTCTGTGGGAGGGATTAGAGGTGTGTGTAAATCTATAAAAGAACAAAGCTCAGGAAGGCTGATACCTTCCCTTTGTGGCACAGGCCACAAACGTGAGATTCCTGTAGCTGAGTCAAGGGAGCATCAAATAACCTACAAGACAATGCTTCTTTCTCCACAACTTCCAGAGGGTCTTCAGCCTTATTTTTTCTTCCCACGACTCCCTCGATCTCACACATGCCACCACTCAGGCTCCACGAAGGATGCCTGTTGCCTTTGGCAGCCAAGAAAGAATCAGAAGGAATCACTCTTGGGTCTCCATGCTCTCTTCTTCTTCTCCTTGAGGTGGCTCCTCTGCATTCTCTTCCTCTTCCTCACCTTCCTTCTTTTCTGGAGGCTTTTCATAAGCCTTTTCAGAAGGTGTCACTATCACCCCATCCCAAGTAGACATTTCTGAGGCAAGATCTAAAAGGAAAAGAGGCTGAATTAACCTCAGGCAGCCAAGTCAGGGAGTCTGCTTTGTTGTGAGATAATGCTATAACCCTTTTGTGCCATGTAAGATAGTGGCAGTTATATCTAGATGTCTCCTCAACAGCACAAAAACCTATCTGCCATCCAGACTGTAACAAGTACTTAGCTCTAACAGACACTCACAACTGGCATCACCCTCCTGGCCAAGGATCTTCCTATATCCTCCATGTGACAGGATACGAACCAATGTCTGAGCCGTATAGCATACCATGTCCTTAATGGGAACAAAAATGAAGATCAGTCAGAAGATGCCTGCCAAACTCAGACCATTCAGAATGGAATGAGGGGGTTACTCTTAAAACCACAGTTGGGGTCTGTGGAACTTGGAGTCGGTCAGGGGACCGCCCCCAGGGACCTGGAGGGCTGAGCATGGCCTTGGGGCTGTGGGTTCCCCACCCCTGGAATAGACAAAGAATTCTGATGGAGACATAGACTAATGAAAAATGATAAATATAAATTATTGCAAAGCAAGTTGGATTGGTTTATATTGATGGCCTAATATTACATTTATAATAAGTCATTTCAAAAAGTGTCCCCCCCCCCAAAAAAAAAAACAAAACAAAACCACAGTTGGGGGCAGCTAGGTGGCGCAGTGGATAGAGGACCAGCCCTGAAGTCAGGAGGACCCGAGTTCAAATCTGGCCTCACACATAACACTAGCTGTGTGACCCTGGGCAAGTCACTTAACCCCATTGCCTTGCAAAAAACAAAACAAAACATAGTTGAAGTCTACTTCAACGACTACCTCCACTGGCCCTTTTATAAAGATTGCATTCCCCCAAATTAGTAAGGGCCAAAAGTAAATCTGACTTTATGACTGGGAGAAGGGCTAAGGGTCCACGTTAATTTTCTACCATTTCCATTACCTGTTGTTCCAGGGTCATGACTGTATGTACCCGGAAGTTACCACTTTCACAGGGGTCAGTAATCCCTACTGAACCAGGAAGAAACAACCCAGCAGCCAGAATCTGAAGGCATCGTCTAGGACATAAGGGAAAGTGTTAGGAGTTGGCAAAGATAGGTCAATCACTCTAAGGAAATTAGGATAGCTCCTAGGAGCAAGCTCTGTACCTGTAAGCCACATTGAGGGCCAAGGGCTGTCTGGTAGGGTTATTCATCACAGCATAATGACCCTGGAAAAGACAAAACATTTGCTAGGAAGAACTCAGAACCAAACTGATAAATTTACCTTTAAACTAACCTAAAGTCATCGTAGTACAGTAGGTGAGACAAATCGTGAACAGAAAGAATCTCAAATTTGTTTCTAGGTAGCTATGCCTTGAACACAAGGACTTCTTATGCCCTTTCTCTCCATAATACTGAATGTCAACAGTGGATTGTAATTTTTTGGTTTACAATCTGACTTAAGCCTCAACTCATTTTTCAGACTCTGATGGTTTTCAAAGTTACCACTCTCAATAAATACATAGAACTTCAGCTGTCACCTTTGTTGTTCCCTATTCCCTTTCAGTCAAGTTCAAACTTCTTGGCCTGGGCATCCAACACTGCGCCATTTGACAGCACTCTACCTCTCTAGTCTTTCTAGTCTCTACTCTTTCATTTTGCTTAGGCTGCAGTTCTCTGTGCCTGGAATACATTCTTAACATTTTTTAAAGCTTCCCTCTAGTGCCTGCTGCCTCGCCTCACCTCCTCTCCTCTCTCAGATGCACCCACCCTGGTCAGGAAAGAATACCTACTTCTGAGCCCACACTGCACCCTCTTGTACTGTAGTTCTGAGTTGGTGTCATCTTCCTATTAGACACTATGCTCTATGAGAGGAGATAGTGTCTTATCTAAAAGCTATACTTTCCCCACAGTATATTAACACAGGGCTTTTTGTACATGATAAATAATATCTACCATTTATAACCCTTAAAATTGCAAAAATGCTTTACATTCATATATACATGATCACATAATAAATAATATGAAGTAGTAGTCAAACTCTGATCTTCCCAATTCTAATTTCAGCTCTCTTAACAAGTACGTATAAATTAAAAAACCCAATTGCCCCTTCTTTCACCTACCAAAAGATCAAGGATCCAAGGTGTGAGAGGTTCAAAGCCAGGGAACCGAATCCTCAAGTCCTTTAGTAGACGGATGAGAACTTTCACCCTAAGGGGAAAAGGAACCCTAGGTCAGCAGGGACACTATATTGGACCCTAACCTTTTAAATGCTAGACAAGATTTAAGGGAGTTAACTACTACAAGTCTCATTTTTCTTATGTTATATAAAGTAAAAATGACATGCCTAGGGAAGAACTGGGGAAAAAAAATGGGATGGGTCAATTTCAGGGATTCCTACCATCCCCCACATCTCCTGTTTCATTGCTGATACCAAAAATGACAAAAGGACCTCACTGACTGGGTGACTTACGTAGACTGAGAAGCATTCTCTTCAAACCAACGAGCATGCCTAATAGCAGCCAAAGCACTTTGCAGAACCTTGATGTCCACTGGGAAAGAAAAAGAAGGATCAAGCTGATGTCTTAAATAAATACACTGTCCTGTAAGCAACCTAATTCCACTGTCACAAAACTAAAACTTAAGTCACCGGGAAAAGGGAGGGCATCTCACACTTGCTCATTCCTTGACTTCTCAACCTAGGGAGCAGGACGGCTACTGCACTATTTCTAAATTATAAATTTTCCTATTCCGCCTTAGAACCACTCTCATATAAATTCTCACTTCTAAAACCTCCCCAGTGGGCAGGTATACTTATTCCAAGATTTACAAAGGTCATGTAAGAAGGCATGTAAGAAATCTAGTGAGAGAACATAATATCGAGCATGCTGACTAGCAAACAGCAAGTTCACCTGTACCCAATGCTTCTAGGGCACAAAATTCCCTGGCCAAGGAGAAGCTTGACTCACAATGTAGTTCTGGGTCCAGCTTTCGAAGATTAGGTGGCACTGTTGTAATGAGAATCTTCACTGTTGCATCAGCAGAGCTGATCTCAAAGCCAGTTTCATTGGTCAGCATAGTCAAAACTGAAGAAACAAAACGAATGAAACTGTCTTATCAGATGGGCAGTGTTGGAGGAGAGGAGGTTGGGAGTGGAAAAAAGTCATCTTTTCAAATAATTCTGTAGTAGAGTTCAGAACAAGAACTTAGAACAAAGAGCCTGAAGTTGGCTGGGCCAGGGTACCAATTTTCATAGCCTCTGAGAAACCACCATCCCTTACTGATGGTTTTATTTGCCTAATTTGAATGATTTGTACATTGCATTCCACACAGTGCTCAGCACCAATGAGAATTCAATATATATTATGTAATAAAGTCAAACCTTCTGCAGGATCCTGTGCTCTAAGACTTTCCACCACTTTGTTCCCCAAAGCTGCAACAGCTTCCACTAGACAAAAGGGAAAGTAGAAAATAAATACCCTTCTAACACAACTACCTGTTATTTCTGCAGATCACCTAGCACTTTACTTATGCACCATGCCTAGAAAACAAGGCATAAGCAAGGATTATCTTTCTAACATTGCAGAAAACAAAAGTCCAGTCCTCACAAGAAAAGCAATAAATTCACAGGTCAAAACATTCCAGCTTCCATCCCAGACCCCCCCCCCCCACTAGTACACATTTACACTTCCCAAATTCCATTCCCATTTTTATTTCCAAGCTCTCTATTTTTTTCAGTTAGTATTTATTAACTTTACAATATTCCCAAAACCCTAATCTCCCCCCAAATTAAATAATCACAACTTCCTTTTCCCCCCCTCCAACCTTCCCAGGTCCTTCTCTTTCCTCAGATTCTCTCTCCTGAAGTTTGGACCTTGAGCCCACAATGCCTCAAACACAATCCTAGCTGGTTCCCAGGACCAAGAAAGCTTGTTACCCACATGTTGGCAGGATCTTCAGAATCACTACCAGATCAGCCACATTATGCCCTGTGGTCATTGTCCCTTTCTTGTAAGATCCCACTTGCCGGACTTCTTCGATTTGCTGTTGGAAAGGGGAGAGGGGTTAATATCAACAGAAAAAAGAACTATTCAAATCACAAAAGTATAAATAGAAGGTCTAATTTCAGTCTTTTTTTCCGTAGTATTGTTATACATATTATATGACTCATTATTAGCAAGATTAAGATATACTATCTTAAAATCAAAAAAGCAAAAAGCACATCCATGTTATAAATAAAAACTATATGCAAGCCTCATTATTATCACAGATAACCTATAATACTAGTATTCATCCTGTCAAGCAACACCAAGAATATTAAAGAAACTCCATGGTATCTTCCTTAAAAACAGCTAGGTGTTGTAAGTGAATAGTATAGGACTTGAAATCAGGAAAACCTGGTTAAATCCTGTCTCAAACACTTACTAGCTGTGTGACCCTTGACCATTTTAAGTTATCCTAGTCTCAAGTTTCCATATTTGTAAAGTGGGAATAATATCACCTATTATTG